CAGCTGCTCATGTCTAAAATGTCAAGCTAAAACTTTTTATCTTGTAGTTATCCATTTGAAGAAAGCCTTAAAAAAATTCAGTACATGAGTCATAAGATAAAAATTAAACAGTATTAGTTATATGGTTTAGAACATGCATCGTCTTGAGCAGATAATTATTGTTTGTCATGTTGTCCAGATGCGGAAATCTTCTTGTTCTGATGAAAATAATGTAGTTCAAAATTTTGCAAATTTCTGACATAAAATACTATGTATGATCCTTTTTGTTTGTTTGTTTGTTTGTTTTTTTTTGTTAAGAGTGGTATATTTGCTACAGGTCTTTTCTTGTTTCTAGGGATGATGTAATACCAAAGGAAAGAACCTGAGTATCACGTAAAATATTTCATAAATGTTTGGATGATCCTGAAGTGAGAGTAATAAATGAAGTTATTTTGGAGTTTAACAGAGTTGTTTTATCTCAAGTTATTTTTTGCATTTTTCAACTAACATACCTTGTTATACCACTAAGGAGAGTTCCAACTTTTCTCAGCCAAATTGATGTTCTGCTGTAATGCTTTGCTTACTATCTTCTACTGTATTCAATAAAGCAGCATCCAGTTGACATTTCAAGAGCTCCTGATCACTCAGGGAATTTTCTTTCTGCCCATGTCACTCACTGTATATTATATCTTAATTAAGCAGAATATTAGTTCAGGTTTTTGTTGGGTAAAACATTAGTTGTTTTTCATCTCTATGCAGTAAACCTGCAATAGATTATATGTAATAGTCAAGGATGAGCAGACAGGAGGCAAGCAACAGAAGGAGTATGGAGATAAAGAATGAGAAATGTTACCAAGAATGGTGTGGTGGGAATGGATAAAAGAGAGGTAGGTGATATATCTGGATGTAGCAAGTTTGAACCTGGTTTTATTATTTTTCTTGGTGATGCTGAATGCAGCATCTCTGAGACAGTAGTTATATTGGGTTGGCCAAAAAGCAATTGTGGGTTTTTTAAATAAATGGAAATACATGTATAAAAACATAAATAACTTAATTTTAAACCACAAATTCATTATATAACATGAAAATTGACAGTTCAAACTTGTTTTAGAAAAAAGCAAGTGCATGATTTTGTTAGCATTTATTTAGTGTTGATTTCAAAACAGAAAATCAAAAGGAACATTTTTGTCATATTTTGCTGTATTACCTCTGAAAAGGAAAAAATGCTGTGCAAGCTCATTAAAAGTTATGTGATGTGTATAGTGAAGATGCCTTAAAACTACCCCAGTGTCAGAATTGGTTTGCTAAATTTCAATTCAGAGATTTGGATGTGAAATATGCACCATGCTCAGTAAGGCAAATCGATCTTTGTAACAACAAAATCAAGGCATTGATTGAATCCTATTGGCATTTAATGACATGAGAGATTGCTGATAATCTTATCATCTCTAAATCAAACATTGAAAACCACTTAAAACAACTTGGGTACATTAGGAAGCTCAATATTTGGGTGTCACATGAGCTCAGAAAATTTCATCTTACTAAGTACACTGACACCTGCAATTCTCTCTTGAAACGTGAGGAAAATTACCCAGTTTTGAAGCGTATGATAACAGGCAATGACAAATGGATCATCTGCTGTAACGATGAACAAAAAAAGATCATGGAGCAAGCATGATGAACCAGCTCAAAGCACTTCCAAAGCAGATACTCCCCAAAAGACGGTTATGCTGCCAGTCTGGTGGGATTTCAAAGGTATTGTGTAATTTGCGTTGCTTACAAGGACCCAAACCATTACTTCAGATGTGTACTGTCATCAGCTGGATAAATTAAATGATGCCATCAAACAGAAGCACCCAGAATTGGTGAGTAGAAAAGGTGGTGTATTTCTCCATGATAATGCTAGACTGCGTACAAGTTTGGTCACTCATCAAAAGTTGTTGCAGCTTGGATGGGGTGTATTACCACATTCACCATATTCTCCAGGCCTGGCACCATCAAACTGCTATTTCTTTTGTTCTTTACAAAACACTTGGAATTGTAAAACCTTCACTGCTGATGAGGATCAAATAATTCTTGGAACAGTTTTTTGCCAAAAAAGATAAAAACTTATTTGAGCATGGAATGATGAATTTGCCTGAAAGATGGCAAAAGGTAATTGAACAAAATGGACAATATATTGTTCAGTAAAGCTTTTGTTTCCCATGAAAAATTCACCTTTCATTTACCCAGCAAAAAAACGCAATTATTTTTTGCCAACCCAATAAATGAAATAGTGGTCATAAGTTTAAGAAGGAGACTATATATAAGGAAAACATTCTTTACTATGAGGACAGTCAGGCACTACACAGCCTGTTTCACCAGCATAGTGCAATCTCTTGGCTTTTTTCAAGTTAGTGGTCAACAAATTCCTGAGCAATCTTATCTGAACAAGGTCTATTGACACTGTGTTGATGAGGATGTTGCCAGAACTGCCAAAATTTAAATCAGTCATACGAACTTAATTCACTGCTTTTGGGTGTAAACATATTGAATCTTATTCTTCTTACATGAATATATACTAGTTTTTCCAGTGGGATCAGTGTGTAAAGTGGATAGGTTCAAAGAAAATTATTAATGATTGTATGTGAGCAAATATATAAAATCAAAGCTGTTTTTATTAAGATACTTGATTGCCATGGAACAGAGTAATATTCTATGCATGGTTCTACAAGAATTCTTGTATGATATTGTACAGATAAGTCCACTAAATAAAAGTATTCATATGTAACCAGAAATTGTATTGCATATGTAAGTAACATGACAAGGTACAGTATAGATTGAGAGCTGTAGCTGCTGTGTACTTGTGGCTATAAAGTGGAATGATTTGAAGAATGCAACAATATCTGGACTTTTAAAAATGTATCTTACTGCTAATTTACTCAGTAAATAACTATGAATACTTTTGGAGGACTGTTCAGTTCTCAGTAATGTTTATACCAGTACAATATGTTTATTATCAAGGGATTTTGTTAAATTCAGTAATTTGTGTAAGGCAGTTAGATATTGCTAAAGATCAAAGCCCAAGAGTATAAGTATTTTTTTCTGAATATTTTGTATTTGAATACAAATACAGATTATCGTAGAATCAAAAAATTTCTAAAGCAGGAAGGCACTTCTGGAGACCAACCCCCTACTCAGAGCAAGGTCAGTCAGAGCAGGTGTCTCAGGACCATGTCTCCCTGAGTCTTGAGTATCTTCAAGAATGGAAACTTTACAGTCTCCTGGGCAGCTTGTTCTGCTGTTTAGTAACCCTTTCAGTACAAAAGTTTTTTCCTCTTCCTGTGTTTCAATTTGTGCCCCTTGCACCTTTTCCTGTCACCAGGCATCACTGAGAAGATTCTGGCTCTATCTGTACTCACCTCTATCAGGTATTATAAACATGACTAAGATCCCTTGAGCCTTCTTTACTCAAGGCTGAATTACTGGCTCATCATCAACTTCTTGTCCACCCCCTGGGCCCTCTCTGTAGAGCTGCTTTCAAGCCAGTCAGCACCAAGGCTGCAGGAGTTATTCCTGCCCAGGTGCAGGATAGAAAAATAAAATCATAAAATTGCTTGGTTTGGAAAAGACCTTTAAGATCATTGAGTCCAACCATTAGCCTAGCACTGCCAACTCAACACTAAACCATGTCCCAAAACTCCACATCTGTATGTCCTCTAAATAACTCCAGGGGTAGTGACTCCACCACTTCTCTGGACAGCCTCTTCCAATGCTTGACAACCCTTTTGGTGAAAACAGTTTTCCAAATATCCACTCTATTCCTACCCTGACACAAGTTGAGGCCATTTCCTCTTTTGGATCTACTAGTACCCCCAAATCCTTGTTACCAATGCAAGCTAGGAGATTATGTGCTCAAAAGCAGCCCTGAGGGAATGGACTTGGTGGTACTAGTAGAGGGGAAACTGGACATGAGCCACCAATGTGCATCTGAAGCCCAGAAGGCCAACCACATCCTGGGCTGCATCAAGAGAAGTGTGACCAGCAGATCGTGGGAGGTGATTCTGCCGCTCTACCCTGCTCTGGTGAGACCTCATCTGGAGTACTGCATCCAGCTTTGGAGCCCCCAACAAAAAAAGGACATGGAAGTGCTGGAGTGGGTCCAGAGGAGGGCCACAAAGATGGTCAAAGGGCTGGAGCGCTTCTGCTACACAGATAGGCTGAGAGATTTGGGATTGTTCAGCCTGGAGAAGAGAAGGCTCTGGTGGGATCTTGTAGCAACATTCCAGTATCTGAAAGGTGCCTATAAGAAATCTGGGGAAGAGCTGTTCACTAGGTCATGTAGCGATAGGATGAGGGACAGTGGTTTTAAGATAGAAAAGGGTAGATTTAGGTTGGATATTAGGAAAAAGTTCTTCAACTGGAGGGTGATAGATCACTGGGACAGGTTGCCCAGAGAGGCAGTGGAGGCCCCATTCCTGGCGATATTCAAGGTCAGGCTTGATGAGGCTCTGAGCAACCTGATCTAGTAACATTGTCTCTACTTACTGCAGGGGGATAGACTAGACCTTTAAAGGTCCCTTCCAACCCAATACATTCTATGATTCTATGACACCCACCTAACTACAATCTCCTTTAAAATAGTTGGTGATCTTTATGGAATAGTTGAATCTTCGCTTAATTCCTGAAGTGCCAGAGAGTAGTGAGGACTGACTGGTCCCTAAGAGACAGCTAGCTAGGAGCAAAGCACACAGACACAGACACCAGGACAGGAGACTCATCAGCCAGGACCTTATCCAGCCAGCCCTGGGGGTGTCAGCAATGCTGAGCCAGGAGTCCAGGTTATCAGACGTGCAGAAATGGTTGTTGTGCAACTTGAAGTCAGAAAACTTGATTGCTCTTATACATGGATATGTTAAAACTTTAGTTAATCCTAAGTAAAACTTCCATGAATGTGCTTTAACAAAAAAGTAGATTAGAATATAGATTTTGACATGGCATTCTTTGTGCAGGATGAGTAATGTAATTTGTATTTTTAACAGTACAGCCTCAAATAATACAACTTAAAAATGAAACCACATTTGAGAATGGGAAAGCCACCCTCATCTGTGAAGCAGAAGGAGAACCTATCCCAGAGATTACTTGGAAAAGGGCCATTGATGGAATAACTTTTTCTCAAGGTGACAAGGTAAATCAGCCTTTAATGTCTAAAGTATCTAAATATGTATTGTCTGGCTAATCTTCTTTTTGTAAGCAGAAAATTAATTTAGAGAGAGATTAAGTCTAGATTCCCCTGGAACTGGAAGGAATTGCCACTTTCCAATGTAATGAGAAATGTGGGAAGTTTAAATTTTAATTTAAAAAAACTCAACAAACAAACAAAAAACCAATCAAAAAACACCCAAAGGAAAAAACAATAAAGTGTTGAAAGGTAATTCATCTCATCAGGCATATATTTTCATACATAATTCCTACTAAGGGTTTCAATTTCATGTTGATCATAATGGATGCTCATAGCCCTTCTGGACTATATATGGACTCTCTCCAGTATTTCAAAAAATGCAATAGAGCTTACAGAAAACTGAAATTAAAAAACCCTGAATACTCTAAAGTTCCGTTTTTCTCACTTCTGTCTTGTTTTTGTTTTCTTTTTTTTATTTTTCTCTTTTCTTATATTTTTCCTCACACAAAGCAAGTAGTCAGTAAGTACAAATTGAGCCCATTTTCCCATTTTGTTATCCAGTTTTCATGTTTTATTACAAAAGTTAGTTGAGTAGAGAAAGATTACAATATGACAATGAAGAAAGTCAGTTGTAGTGGGAACAAGAACTGTAATTAAATGGAATGGAAAAACAAAGTATTGTCTTCTTAATTTCCTTACATAAACTCAGAATTTCTCTGTGCTGATTAAGATATGAGATACCATCTTTCTGGCTGGCTAATTAAGAATTTTTACTCCAGATAATCTGATAGTGAAATATAGTATTATTGCAGGATTTCCATTTTGGACCAAAATAACAGTATTTTTATATATGTATTTTTTCTTAATAGTTTTGCATTAAAACAAGGCAGTTTGTCTCCTCAAATATTTCAAGTCAAACGTCGTTTTTCTTACCCGCAAAGACTACACTTGGTTCAAAGGTTACAAATGTAACCTTTCACTTACGTTTGGAATGCTCCTAAAATAACTTTCTTACATAAGAAATTGAAAATAAAAGCAAATCACAGAAACAAACTAAAAAATGTTGGTGCATTTGAAACCTGAAATTCATCCAGTGCTTATATAGGATAGTATTACATTCTTAATTCAAACTGCAGGTGGTTTAACTGTCTAGATGTGTCACTGTAGCATTCTTTGAACTATGGTTCAACTGGATAATACTGACAACCAAACTAAAAGCACTTGTGTTCATTTTCTACTAGTGTGCTGACATACTGTATGTGGAAGATAAAAAGAATGATGATGAATGCAGTTGTTTCCTTTTGTTATTGCTAGTGAAAGAACTCTATGTGTATTTCTCATGGGAGTTTTTGCTGAATGTTGAATAAATTTTCTGGAATACTGTATATATTCTTGAGCTATAAAATATGCTGCTGCATTTGCCCTATGGTCCTCCAGCTCTAGGGTGCCAAAGCCTTGGCTTGTTCTATCCAGCCAAATTAAGTGAATAGGGAACAAAATTGTCAGTGATGAAATTATTGAATGGTTGTTGAATAAGACAGTGATGTTTTGCACACTGAAAGAGAAGGAAAATGTGAACTGAAGAAAAGGGAGGGGATTGTAACATAGTCTTAAATTGAAATTATTACATGTACGAGATAACTTTTGAAGTAAGTAACCAGATACACTTGCAGAAACATTATCATCTGCCTTAGGTGAATTCAGCTTTTGAATTTTTTACTAGTTTTAAAGCATTTTTTTGGTATAGACTGCACTACTGTAGCTATAATGTTAACATGATTTTGATTAAAAAACACATAAAGCATTGTTCTTATTTTTTCATTATACTTTTGTTACTTTTAGTGTGTATTCTTGTTTTGATAAAATGCAAGCTTACCTCATGTGGAAAAGGAAGAAGGCTGAATGTGGCATCATGCTTAGCCTGTATGGATTCAAAGTGTTTTATTTCAATTGATAGATTTTATAACCAGGACGGGCTTTTCTGAGTTTTGAAATTATTATGTCCAACAGAATGGAAAACAGGCACTGAAGTTGTAAATCAAAGAAATAACCCTGCTGGGCCTAAGGAGAGCAATGTTAATGAGTAAGAGGTCTATAATTATCTCTTAGGAAAATACAGCTTTGATAAAGGATTTTTAATACATCAGAAGTGTGTATTTGAAAGTTGAAGCCAAGCGCGTTCAAACTAGGAATAAAGCAGCTTTTTCCTCTCTCCTTTTATCAGACTTTGGAACAATCTACCACACAGTTTGTGGTCCCTCTTTCATTGAGAATTTGAAATAACAGAGTCCTCCCCTTTCCTCTGACCTCTCTTGAAAGTTTAAATGGAGAGTTTTCCAGGAGATCACATTAGATGACCTCTGTAATCCTTTTATGGCTTCATAACCCATAAATGCATGAGAGTGAGTAAGCTTGAGTAGATGAATGATTATGTGTGACAGAAGGTGTTTGGCTCATCCTTAAAGATTTGGAAATGGATATCAAGGTTTAATCCAAGACCAGAGCTTCATCTGCTGTTGCAGTGTCAAGCCAAAACTCTCAGTGTGGTGGATTCACTCTGCCTCTGCACTTCTAGTCCCTGACTCCCCAGTATTGCACATCCTTTCACTAATGTACTATCCTGGCCAATGCCCCTTTCAGCTGTGATTCGAAATGACATGTTTCTACAGATCTCTGTGCTTCCGGCAGACCTGGCACTTTTCCCAGTAAAAAGAGGAGGCAGGAGAAGAGTTGCTTTTTGTACAACAGAAGGAGGGATAGTGCTTTGATTTGCTGTAAAAATGCTTTTTAATTTGCTTTTAAAATGGATTTTAAACAAGCACATACATATCTACACACATCTCTGAAGGAGAGCATATCCTGATTCTCCAATACAAAAATGTCATTGATTCCTGTGAATACTGCAGAAGTGTCAGGGCAGAGTTTCATGCTCTACTTTCCTAGTATCTAATTCTAGCAGAAATGTGAAAGCTGACCAGTGTTGTTTGTAATTACCATTTCAAGCCCTTTTTTGGAATACAAATGACAATAACAGATGGGACTTGATATTGAGACAGTAGCTCTGCTGTATGCAGCATGCTTCCAAAGACACAATCTTTACCCTGAAGAATTAATGATTTAAACGTTTAAAATGAGTGAAAGTCAGTGCAGAGGGGTCATACACCAGTATCTGATACTCAGTTTTCATAATGCCTCATGTGTGGGGTAACTGGTTAACAAAAAAAAAACAACACCTACTGCTTCTCCCCTCCTCAAAAGAAAAAAAAAAAGAGAATTTCTAATTTTGGTGTTGTATTGTAAGATACACTAAATGATACTGTGTTTTGTAAATATTTGATATTGATTCACCAAATGTCTTTGAAATACCTTACAATATTCTTCTCAAAAGCCCTCTGATTTTTACCTTTATAATGAAAATTGCAGAGATAGCTTGAGTTCTGCTTCCTTTCATTTACCATTGCAATAATAATCTATCTCCATGAAATTTCCTGTGACATTGTTTCTAAGTATTGCAGAGCTCAGATCAATAATTAAATTCTTTTCCAAGTTTGAGTTCACCTTAAATTGGCATGCTATTCATAACTGTTTGGAGCTTGTAGAGTTTTTCATAGTTTTCATGATCAGGCAATATTCAAAAGTAAAGAATTTTGGAGTTGTTTTTTCTTTTTCTTTGAAAAGTAAACTCTGCTTTTTCCCCCACACCTGTTAGCTCCACTTAACTCCAGTGACATGAAATTGTCACTGCACAAAAAGCAGCAGTGTTACAGTATCAGCAAATTCTGTTGACTTTCTTTTGCGATTCTAATAAGAGCTCTGTTACATTCTTGCCCATCAAGGATCAGGTCTTTATTTGAACTGAATCACCCAAAAAGAGGAAACATAGATGTCTAGGATATTTTAATCTATTCCAGGAGATTTCTTTCTTTTTCTGAGCTATGCAAATCCCAGTATTTGTAAACTAACCTCAGCAAATTTTCCCCCTTGAATAGCTGGAAAAATGTAAGAGTCTCATTACCTTATTGAAAAAAAAATGTTTTAACGTGTTTCACCTACATGTTGTGTGATTAGCTTATACTTAAAATATCATTGAATAGTTTTGCTGTTGTAATATTAGCACAGGCCTGTAGGCCAGAACAGTTTATGTAGCCAGCTGCAGTTGTATTTGGTTATGCAATTGAGACACTCTGCAAACAATTCAATCAGGTATCAAAGATTTTTTAATTTTGTTTTTAACCACAAAAATATTCATCGTGGGTTTCACATGTTAAGGCTATGAAACAGAACTGAGTAAGAATATGGTGACTGGAAGGAGAAGGTAATTATATTAACTTGAGGGTGAGTAGAAAGCAGGAGGGTTGCCTTAAATATTGGGTAATTAGTGCTGTTGAGAATGTACAGATTTATACCCTGTGACTTATGCAAAACACGGAGCACGTATGAGCACTGAACAGTATATTCTCACCAGACATCTGATCCATAGAAATCTGCATATAGAATCGTAGAATCGTTTGGTCGGAAAAGACATTTGAGATCATTAAGTCCAACCATAACCTGTGCACTACTAAACCATGTCTCTAAGCACCTCATCTAGCCTTCTTTTAAATATCTCCAGGGATGGTGACTTGACCACTTCCCTGGGCAGCCCATTCCATTGCCCAATAACCCTTTCAATTAAAAAATTTTTCCTAATATATAATGTGAACCTCCCCTGGTGCTACTTGAGACCATTTCTTCTTATCCTGTTGCTTGAAAGAAGAGACTGGCTCCTACTTGCTACAATCTCCTTTCAGGTAGTTGTAGAGGATGATAAAGTCCCCCCCCAGCCTTCTTTCTCCAGGCTGGACAACGCCAGTTCTGTCAGCCACTCCTCATATGGCTTGTGCTTCAGATGCTTCAACAGCTTTATTACCCTTCTCTGGACACACTCCGGTGCCTCAGTATGTTTGGGCGCTCCTTCATGTTCTCTATGGCATGTTCATCTGGACTAATACGGAGTTGGGGCGAAG